TACTTCCATGAAATACTGTAGTCGTGGTGAGGCGGGTTAAAGGAGGATGACCGTAAAAGAACTGCAGAGGACGACGAAGCCGGGTCTGGTCCTCCTCAGTTTGGCGAGATCGTGCGTCTGCGCAGGCAGCTGCACGTCAGGCACTTGAGGATGCTCATAGTGACCCGCATAAGTGGGCCGAAATTAAAGAGCAGGTTGTAGAAGGTGTTGACAGACAGGCCACCGGTCTCATCGGCGTACTTTAAGGCCACGATCGGCGTGTAGAGGCTGTTGGTCAGATTCCTAAAGCGAGGGTTGCTTGACTCAATTACCTTTTTAGTGTACTGAGGGAACAAGAAAGAGAAGGTCACTGTGTCGTACAGTATAATAAAATTTTTTTACCTAAAAGAGAAACCTCCTAGTGAAAGTCAGGAAATCGTGGACTTTAAATAGCCACAAATATTTCTAATACCATATTTTCCGGACTATAGATCCACAATTTCACGTTTGTTATTTTCTCACTGACAGCCGCTAGAGGGCACTCTCAACTTCGTGCACCATTATCTGCTGCTTCTGTACCACTGAAGATTTACATGTTAGTTACTTTCACACTGACAGCCGCTAGAGGGCACTGTCGGCTTCTGTACCAGTATATGCTACTCCTGTCCGACTGAAAATTTACGTTTGTTATTTTTTACACTGACAACCGCTAGAGGGCGATCTAGCTGGTTAGTGCAATGCATACTCCACTTAGAGCGTCTTATATAAACAGCCGCTAGAGGGCACTCTCAACTTCGTGCACCATTATCTGCTGCTTCTGTACCACTGAAGATTTACATGTTAGTTACTTTCACACTGACAGCCGCTAGAGGGCACTGTCGGCTTCTGTACCAGTATATGCTACTCCTGTCCGACTGAAAATTTACGTTTGTTATTTTTTACACTGACAACCGCTAGAGGGCGATCTAGCTGGTTAGTGCAATGCATACTCCACTTAGAGCGTCTTATATAAGTTTCTTTCTTCTTCATTATGCATTTTTTTGGCTGGTGGGACTTTTAGTCCGGAAAATACGGTAAATGTTTTTTGGTTTTTTTTGCATTTCTTATTTCAATTTTGTTGTCAAGTCAGACAAATAATCCTGGCCAAGTCTTAGCTGTATGTGCAAAGTATTGTACAGATTGACTGAAAACGTTGTTGACATCAGTATACTGTAGATACTTTAAAATACAATAATTCATGTGTTCACAGTGGAGCAGTTGATCTGTCATCAAATCACCGCGTGAGTTACAGATGAGATGGGAGTAAAATGAGTCTTACTCTAGCTATGTCTTCAGGTGTCTGGCCCATGGCTTGAAAAATATCGATGGAAGACGGCAGGTAAACATCTTTGAAATAGTGAACTGTGTCCGTGTCCACGCCTGGATACTCCATCTTGGCCACATCCTCCATCATCTTGGTCTCAAACTCTGTGTGCACGGGACCGGGCTCGATCATGGACAACCTTATATAGATAAGAGTTAGATAGACGGACAGATGTACGTGAACATTCCGGAACTGTTTTAAAGGGTCTTTCAGTTCTTCATCATGTTGTCCTCGAATGAGCGAAATTTCAATGAGGCAAATTCAAAAACAACCCTCGAATGTCAATTTTTAGTTGACATTTAAGATAACCTCGATCCACATGACCAAAAGTTCAACAACTTTCAAAAGACCTTACTCAAAACGAATCAATGAAAAGATTTAAAAAAAATAAAAACACAAGTTTAAATGTAAAAACATTTGGAAAATAAATAAAAGGTAGAATTACAACGTTGTCCCCCCGTATTTTGCCAGTGACGATGTTGACATTAAGTGGTTGAGAAGCCACTGTCAGTCATTTGGTTCCCCTGACAATGGTTTCGTTTGGGAGGAATGTGGGTCGGAGTGTGTGTGGTGTTTGGAGTGAATGATAGAGAGAGAGAGAGAGAGAGAGAGAGAGAGAGAGGCGTTGCGAGCGATCCATGGTCAATATTATGAGTTGTTTTGTTGTTCTGGCGTTGGCTACAGCTTACAGTAGTCTGTGGACGTTATAATATTGAAGACTGATAAGACCCCACAAGTGAACTGATTTGTAATGCTGTTAATTTGTTCAACCAGAATCTTTTAGCTCAGACGTGGGCAAACTTTTTGACTCCGGGACACAATTGTCGTACAATTGAATGGGGGACATGCATAAAGGCTAAAATGCTAACATGCTGCTATCATTTTCTTTCACCATCTATTGGTGAAACGTGCGTATTGCATTGAAAAGGCAGAAGTATAATGATCATATAAATAAATTATATAATTGGGAAAAGTTTGGCGGGCCAGGTTAAAAAGCTGAACGGGGCGCATCCGGCCCCCGGGCCTTAGTTTTCCCATGCCAGGATTAGACGCTAATACATTTATAATTCACCATCTGTGAATTATTGGTGTCACGACGAACGATGGCAGTTAACGAGGAGAACATCGGCCGATACCGATGTTCATCCGATGCATCGTTTCGTCCCTACTATTTTTCTCAACGTGTGCAAAATGTAGTTGTTATAAGGTAGGGACTGTTAAACTTCATGATATATGTAAAATAGAATACATTCTGCGGGTACAAAGAATTAAGGCTAAACTACCGGATATTGAACTTCATCAGCTGCACTGCCATGCTCTCACAGAATCCCTCCATGGCAAACTTAGAGGCGGTGTAGACGTCGTTGAACACCACTCCTGAAAAAAACACGCGGCAATACGAGTCATTTATTTCTGTAGTTTGACATTAACATATTGCGACTGTTCTGTAATATTAGTAATTCAGTACAAAATACTTTTTAAACTAACAATTAAATAACATAAAAAATGTAATTTTTTTCTTCTTTTCTTCATTTTCTAACGTCTAATTTAGTTCATTTTTAATCTGTTGCTTGCAAAAAAAAATAAAAAATTCAACTTATACCTTGTAGGCCCATGACGCTGCTCATGACTATAATCTGTCCCGAACGTCTCTTTTTCATGTCCGGCATCACCTCTTTGATCATGCGGACGACGCCAAAGAAGTTAGTCTCAAAGACTTGTTTCATCTCCTCGATGCTGATACTTTCTACTGGTCCGAGGAGGCCCACTCCAGCGTTGTTGACTGACACGAAAAACACAGACAAGCACACATAGATACGGATGTCCTTTTACATCAAAAGTGTTCCAAACCCCTTTTTTTTTATAATGGACCAGATTGTTTGTCAATGCAGGTAAAACGTTGCAAAATAAAGTTGAGGCCTGAAATAAATAGTAGAACATAGTCAAAACATACTATAAAGTAGTTAGTAGTTAGTTTTGTTGTAAGAATTATTTGGGTTCGATAAGAAATAGCAAAATGTTAGATACATTTAGCAAACGCGTTAGCTAGGATGACAAGTTCGCTAAGCACAGTAAAAGACCAAAAGGTTCGCCTGACACAAGTTAGCTGTAGTTGAAAAAAAAATAGCTTAACTTTACCTAAGAAGACTGTAAAAGATTAGCACAGGAATGGCTACAAGTTAAAAAAAATAATAATATAATTTTGTGAGGCATTTGCTATCCAAAAATATGGAATTATAAAGTAGCTTAGCTCAAAACAGTAAGCTAGCACATTGGCTAATTTTGGAATATAATATAATATAGCAGAAATGGCTTACACCTAGCACAGCAGTTTAAAAGGGGTTAGCTACTTCCGTGTGTGTACGTCCAGTGACTGCTAGGATGGAATGAATGAATGCTGGCAGAATTAAGCGGTAAAAATGGCTGCATTGTGTAGCCTTCCGGAGCTTTCAAATCCGGCCATCAAAGACTGGTACGACGTTTAGTAAAGACTGATTTAATCTGTTTCATGCATTACAATTACTTCATTGTAATTTCAGTTAATGCCACTAGATGGTGGCAGACATCAAATGAGACAGAACATATCTCACAACCTCTGTCCTACATTTCTATCATTGCTGTAATTACACATTACCAGGAGACAAATATGCTAGGATTGTGTCTCACTGTGGTGCTCTCTCATCTTTATATGGTCTCTTAGTGGCCTAAGAGAGTTTTAATTTTGCTTCTTCTTTATTTGACACAGGCTTTGAAAGTGACGAGGCGTTTGGAGTATGATAATGAGATCTGGTGAAACAGACAAAAAAAGCAGATCAAAAAGTAGTATCTGCCAATACCAATACTGCATAATTTGTATCCAGTGTTTTCATAAAAGCCTTATTTTTATGCATTTAATAGGGCAGAAAGGATTACCGTAATTTCCCGACTATAAGCTGCTACTTTTTTTTACATGCTTTGAACCCTGCGGCCTAAACATTGATACGGCTAATTTATGGATTTGTAAGGGCTAACAAAGTTCATACCGCTATCAACCAATGACTTTTCTGGTAGGCTACTGTGTGTTATATTAGTAGCGTATGTTTGTCTGTGAATGGCTGTGTGTATATGTGCGAGGGGCGCAAAAGAGAGAGAGCGAGCGTTAGCTAAAGTTGAGAGCTGGCTGAGCCCTGTCATGTTGAAGCGTGAGTTGGTTATACAGGAGCTGTTAAAACACTGTTTATGTTCTGTGACCCCAACTTCCCTGTTTCTGTTTACCTCTGCTGAGGACTAGCACAAAGGGAACGGAGTTAGCCCCAGAGCTAGGTTAAAAATATACACCATCCCCATTGTTTAACATTAGAATTAAATCAAACACCTGAACGAAAGCAACAAAACCCAATGGCATTCAGGATGTCAATGACGTAAACTGCGTCGGCCGAGATTTCATTTTTAATTTAAAACGGACCTTTCTACTCACTCAGGATGTCGATGTGGCGGTCTTTCACATTGTTGATGCACTGTTTAACTGACTCGTCACTGCACACGTCAAGAGGAAGCAGCGTCAACGTTTTGCCAAAGGAATCCCCGGCTGCTTCTACCAGCTTGTCCTTCTTCTTCAGGTCACGCATGGTGGCAATAACTGAGGCGGGGAGGGAAAAAAAAGTTATTTTTAAACCTTTTAGGTAAACTGTAAAGAACATGTAAGGTTTTTAAAAGATGGATCACAAAGGGCAGATCTGGGCAAACTAAGGCCCGGGGGCCGGATGTGGTCCGTTCAGCTTTGTAATCCGGCCCGCCAAACTCGTCCAAATTATATAATTGGTTTGTATTGTGATTATACTTCTGCCTTCTCCCTGCAACGACCATGTTTTCCCTATAGATGGTGTAGAAAAGGCTAAAAGCAGTTTAGCATTTTAGCCTTTATGCATGACTTTTACATGTCATTTATCGTAGTTCGCGCAAACGCTCCATCTATCTGCTCCAGACCCGGTCCCCCCTGTTCAATTTTAGGACAATTGTGGCCCACGAGTCAAAAATTTTGCCTATCGCTGACCTAGGGTATAATGGTAACTTTTAGGAGAATATAATATAGAGCTGATTCAGCTGATGTTAGCACCAGAGATTATGATCCTTAGGTGGGATCACACACACACATACATGAACATGTGTGTTGCAACAATGTGTGTTGCAACAATGTGTGTCCTTGCAGCCCGTTGCAAGGACGCTGGGTGTGTACAAAATGTGCAGGACAACGGAAGGGTGGTGTGTACAAAATGTGCAGGACAACGGGGTTAAAAAAAATTGATATTTAATCATTTAGAATACTTATTCTTACTGTATTAGAAATAAAAAATATACAGTTAAAGCAAGCAAATACATATTTAGTCATTTCATCCAAATGACCTAAAACACGAGTTGCATATTTTCCAGGTGTTTTTTTTTTTTTGTTAGTGAAATGGAAACACAGGCTGCCAATGAAAGGGACCAGTTGGCTGCACGTGCTTTGCTTTTCTCTTGAACAAGGACTACTGTGCCTGTGAGTTTCTAAGCCTGCTTATACCTAAAGCTGTTTTTGTGGTCAGCAATAACAAGTTAACCAAGTTTGTTACGTTGCGAATAAGAATGCTTAACTCCTAACTCCTCATTTTGTACGTGCTCTGTTTACCATTATGATCATCTGCAGACCTGCAGATCCCGCCAAATATCCTAGGGTTTTATCAGGCCGTGTTAGCGTTCAGGTTTAGATGCATCATCTTAAAAGACGTATGTCGATCCACTCGTATCTTGTATCGAATTTTTCCCCCCATTAAATATAACTAAATACCAATGAATTTGTTCCAGACCCCCAGAAATATACTATATATAATAATTGATTAAATTAAAATCACCACCATCTAAACATCAGAAACATAGATATAAACAAATGTATTGATAATATAAAATAATAATAATTAAGAAAACATTTTATATTATTGTTATAAAAATGGGTAAAATAAATAATAAATATATAATAAAATAGTGTCGAGGCCACTAAGGTAGAAGGACTGGGAGTGAGGACTCGATTTAGAGAGAGAGAGAGAGAGAAAGAGAGAGAGAAGGAATACTTATTCTAACTATATTAGGACAAAACAGATTTTAGTTTTTTTTTTTTTGCTCTCCCAGTTTTACAACGGAGAACACTAATAATCGCTGTTTTCGAATTCTACGTGCATGCGTTGCGTCTTTGCAGAACCCCTCTCTAATGCCGTGTTAACTTTTTCAAAGTTCTAATCTGGTGATTTGAAATGGAAGAAACAAAGAGATTTATGTGATGGAAAAAAAAAGTGAAGTGAACAAGGCAGCCATTGTTCCTCCGAGTCCCAGTAATTACTTCTGGGCAGCTTAGAACATTCTTCAATGAACCACTCTGCACTGCTTATACACCTACACAGAGGGATATTCTGAGTTTGCTTTTGGGGGAAAAATTTTTTTTTCAGCATGCTACGGCAACTATTCACTAATCCTGGATGCAATATTTAATCACTGCTGGATTCCCTGAAACCTTGGAAAGAGATTTAATCTACTTTGTGGAACCAAAGGTGGTCTTATTTCAAACTTATGACATGAAAAGGCCGTTTAAACCAGAACTTTCTAGGAGTTGATGCCATATTTGTTGAACCACTGCTCTGCAATACTAAGAAATGCGTATCTGGTATTCCCT